TGGAGCTTCATTGGCAACCTTAAAACTTGACAGCCTTCCATATCATGTCGCATCCTGCAACAAGATGGAGAAAAACTATGCACATATCAAAATGAAGTATGGAACAAGGGACCCCCTTGTCTCAAACCCCTCTTAGGTACTAAATTACCAAACTTCAAGCCATTCAAAGGGAAAGAAAATGAAACAGTAGAAATACAAATATCGATTAATTCTATAAAACTTGAATGAAATCCTAAAGCAATAAGTAGTTTTTTTTTTTTTATCAAGAAAGTCCATTCAATCTAGTCATATGCCTTGCTCATATCGAGTTTGACAGACATAAGACCTTCTCATCCTAAGGATTTTGTTCTAAGATAACGATTCATCTCATAAGCAACAAGAACATTATCAGTGATTAAACAACCCGGGATAAAGGCGGACTGATATTTTGAAATGATAGAATGAAGAACATTTAATCTATTAGCTAGCAAGAACTTTAGACGCCAACTTATAAGTCACGTTACATAAAGTAATTGGATGGAATTGAGAAATATCAGACACAGATTGACACTCAGAAATTAAGACTATATGAGTATAATTAAGACTCTTATTGAAGTGACCATGATTTTAAAACGACAAAACATATTTTGACACAGCTGACCCACTACATACAAAAACTTTTGATAAAAAACAGGACTAAAACCATCTGACCCGGGAGATTTATAAGGAAGCATTTGACTCAAATCCTTAACAATCTCAGTCTAAGTATATGATTTAGTAAGCTTCTTGTCCGTCTCATTAGTAACCTTGCATTGAACTCTCTCTAACACCAGTTGAATATCCTCCTCTGAAGGATGAGCGGAGAAAAATAATCTCTCCAAATGATCCATAATAATTCTTTCAATCTCTTCCTGATCTATACACTGATGTCCTGTATCATCTTTTAAACCTAAAATCTCATTCTTTTTATGTCTGGCACGCTTTAGAGTGAAAATATTTTGTATTATAATCTCCCTTCCTTCCTAAGACAATGCTCTTTGCTATGCTGACTCCACATGATCTCCTCTTTATCTAACAACTAATCTAACTCCAATTCTAGTCTTCCAATTTCCCCTTTACTTGATTCGCAAGGGTATCTTGCATCAAGCTTTGGATTTTTTATCTTAAAGAATCTGCTTCTTTGTTGATATTTTGCAAACTCAATTTTGCTCCACTTAATTAATCCTAATCTACAGTTTTGAATCTTATCTGACAAGTTCTCATGAGCATCAACTCGAGAGACACAATCCTATGTCTATTTAATAACTTCGGCACAGTCTCTCGATTTCATCCACATTGCTTCAAAATGAAACAATCGTTCCGTCTTCTAGAAAGGCCAGTTTTGTTTATCTTTAATTTTAACCAGAATCAAAACATGATCAGACTTGTTAGGAAATAAGTGTTCAACTGATGATGCAAAGAAAACCACCATCCAATCCACAGAAGCACATGTCCTAATAAGATGGCCCCTAACTATGTTTGGATTATTCCATCTATTACACCAAGTATGCTTATAACCTTTGTACCCCAGATCATGTAAACAATAATGCTCCAATGCTTCCATAAACAAAGAAATCTACCACGGAAAGTATTGCTGTTTTGTAGCAAATTCATGTGCAAATAACATTTTATTAAAATCTTCAACACATAATCCTAGTAAATTCACCTTACAGTTTGAGCTATTAAATTGTTCCTAGGTGAGTCGTCTGTAAGATATATCAGGTTTCTTATAAAACCAATAAATCTCCATCACCTCTGATTGTCCGAAAATGAGACAATTGCATCAATCCAACATCTTGAAAAACTAGCAATAGACATAAAAACATCTTTATTTCATTATAGCGCAATACCTCCAGACCTCTCATTTGCTGCTATTGCCAAACCATAAAGACTTAATTGTTCCTTCAAATACTCAACAATAGTGACGTTACATTTTGTCTTTGAAAGAAAAAATAAATTAGGTTTATAGCTCCTCACAAAGCAGCGGAGCTCACGAATTGTCTGGGAGTTCCCCAACCCCCAGTAGTTCCAACTAAAGCAACTCCTTGATTCCGAGGGGGTTGGTAACAGCCTCCGCTGATGTGTTCTGAAAAGTGGATGGAACATATTGATCAGATTCTCCATGACTTCTTTTTACCAATGGCATGTCCACAGTAGCCCTACTGTCATCGCTATATTCTTCAATTCTGCTCCTCTTAGAATCTAACACTAATTTCCAAGCTTTCTCAGAGAACTTATCCTAGGACAACAGATGCCACCTTTTCTTTTCACCTTTCTGTTGCAATACCAGCTTAGAGGCTGATTCTTAAAAGCCCTGGGTATCTTTTCTGTTTGTAGTACATCATCCATGCTGTATCACTTGCACATCAAGCAGAAAAATATCATCAATTAAATCTTTCATTTTTTACTTTTCCAGAACAAAAGAAAAAACACAATCTGTAGTTTCTATTAAATTAACCAAGTCCTTATTTCTCTTATGAAGATGTAATCCATTTCGAACATTACCTCCTAAAGAAGAAGAGCGCTTCTACCCTACCACTCTTAAGCCCATATCATTTCTTTTACTAGGCCAAGATCAATTGGTAAGCCAGTTTCTCTCGTTTTGTCTTTGATCTCAACCAACCCCCTATATCCTCTCCTCAGCCTAACTCATGATCTGAGCCATCCTCACCCTTATTCTGATTCCTACTTCCACAATTTGAATTTGAATAAAAGCGCTCATCCCTCCTCAAATCTTTATCCTTTTGTTGTAGAAGGATATCCTTCTTTTTATTCGAAAATTGAACAGGATAAGATATGCCCCGGAAAAACTACCCCGGAAAAACTACCTGTCTACGTCATCCTTATGTAGTCCTTGAGAACGTGCATGCCCCACTCTCGGTCCAACTACCTTTTTCGGTGATCGCCTGTCTTCCATTATGAGAAATGACTTTGCAGTAACATTATCACTTCCTGCTCTCAGCGAATGACTGTATTGCTGATCATGCTGATGAAAAATACTGTCATTTTCTTTAAAAACGTAATTTCGCTCACCGTGTCCTAACCTACCACAATAGTAACAAAAAATTGGCATCTTCTCATACTTGAAGAAAATCTCACTTCCTCTCGAAAATGAATTCTTATTTTTCTATGAAGAGGCTTAGTAGCATCAATTTCCATTCAAATTCTTGAATATCTACCCCAAGAAACATCCACATCACTAGAATCCCATCTAATAAAATTACAGATTTTGTTATCAATCAATTGAGCAGTCTCCACACTCATCCTACTGAAAGGAATGTTGTATGCCTAAACCCAGAAACATTACCACTTGAGTTGAATCTTAAATGGATTAACATCTCCATCATATTCAGCAAGTAACACTAAATTATGATCAAAAGTCCATAGCATACCCTCCAAAACATGCCTTTTATCCCGTTCAATTGTAAATTGAAATAATGACAAATTATCTCCAATGGCTATACCTTTAACTCTTCTTGGAATATCCCAAGCCTTAATGAGAGTTGAAATCATTGTCTAAACATTAACATGCTTCTGAGATAATATTTTTTCAAGAAGAAAAAGTGCTCCTGTTTGAACAATTTCCTCGTTAATCATATCATTAACATCAGTAATTTCATTTTCCTCATCGGTAATTTTCAAATTCTCCCACAACTGCTGCAACTCTTCCGCCATTAGTAATTTCCATAAACTGAGTATGAAAAGACTAAGAGACCAAGGAACTTAAGAAAAAGAACTAAAAAAAACAAAGAAACAAGCACCACACAATGTCGAAAAGAAAAGACTGATGTTAAGACTCAGAAAACACACTAATAGAAAACAATGAATACTAATACAAGAAAAGACCCAATAGAAAAACTAGAAGAAAACGGGGACAAAAGGAGTGAGAGAGAATCATTATCCAAAGACTAAATCTAAAAGACTAAATAACTCTCACCGTGGAGAGGAAAAACTTGCATGAGCAAGGAGTCAATTCACAGAGAGAACGAAACCCTAATGGGAAAAAGCTATCATAGCTTTAGTTTTTAATTTCACCTTTGTATTCCTAATTGATATTTAACCTCTTAAGTAAAACTATTTATTAGCAATAAAACGAAAGGGATATTATATTTCTATAAATTATAGCAGTAACTGGCAAATACATAGGAATAATAATACCAAGAGATGTTTACCCTAATCTGATCATGGCAGGTTTCTAGGACATTTTCTAGCAACTTACTAGCGTATGCTTATAAGATGCATGCCTATAGAGCTAATGCAGATTAACTTCTATCTTTTTCTTGAATAATTCTCATGAATTCTACCTTGACACTTCCATATGATAGTCTCATATGCATGATTTTTTTTTAATTCAAAACCATTAATTCCAATGACAGCCCAATATCATTGTTGCTTGGCATGCTAAACTTTGTACTAATAAATAGATTAAATTCATTCATGTAAAGTGAACCGTCTTTATTAACTAAATTAGCTCCTAATGTAATGTTAGGTGGCATGTTACCAACGAATTTTCAAGCAACTTACAAGTTAATTCCTATAAATTTTAAAGAAGGCCAACCATCCTTATGATCTGAGCCAACCAATTCACTAATGAATAATATGTTCATAAAAAAGTCCACCTAAAAATTGTGACTGTAAATCACGATATTATTAACTATTAAGTGATAGACATAAATATGAAAATTTTTAAAATTAAGGAGATGAATTTTCTATTAATTTGTTTTTATCAATTACGTTGTATGTTATTTAGTATAGAATTTTCCTTCACGAAAGTTAGTACGGTTCAATTTATTCATAGCAAACCGCGTGAAGGAGTGACCTTAAAATTCTTTTTGTTACTTTTTGGGATGAACAATCAGCAACCCAACACAGCTAAGGCCCAAAGATTAAGAAAAGGAAGCCCAATACGTAGAAACCCATTTCAGCCCAAACTTCAAAATTCCCACACTTACTCTTTCAAAAATGACTAGGGTTCTTATACAGTTGCCCCTTCACTGAAAAGATCTCGCCTTTCGTTGGGGTTTCTCTCATTTTCACACACTCACACAGTAACAATGGCGCCGGCGAAGCAGAAGACGGCGAAGGTGAGCAGAAACCCCGATTTGACCAGGGGAGTGGGCAAGTTCTCACGCTCCAAGATGTACCACAAGAGAGGGCTTTGGGCTATTAAGGCCAAAAATGGCGGCACTTTTCCCAGCCATGAGAAGAAGCCGGAGGAGCCTGCGCCAGCAGCCGTGAAGCCGGTGAAGTTTTACCCCGCCGATGACGTGAAAAAGCCGCTAGCCAACAAGCGCAAGCCCAAGCCCACGAAGCTCAGGTAAGATAGGTGAATTTTTTTTTTTGAATGATTGAGATGATTTTGGTTAATTTGAGGAAGTTTCGATTGATATATTTATTTATTTATTTTGGTTTTTTTGGAACTAATGGTTTAGGGCAAGTATTACACCTGGGACCGTGTTGATAATTTTGGCTGGGAGGTTTAAGGGCAAAAGAGTTGTGTTCTTGAAGCAGCTTTCTTCTGGATTGCTTCTTGTTACTGGTGAGTTTTCTTCTATTGACGGAATCCATTTTTCTGTTTATTGGCTATAAATTATGTCTATTTTTTTTTTTTATGTGGGAGTGAAAATTGGTCGGAAATTTAGTAAATAGGGTAGTTCATTTATTTCTGATTCAGTTTGCAAAGGTAAGTCAAGATTGAAATGGAGAGCTATCGAATGTATATTACTTTTTATCTGTTTGTTTGTGAAATAGGGTAGACGAGTGGCTTGTGGGCTGAAACACACAGCAATTAACTGATCTTGGAAAAGGGGGATTTGCTTGTTACAGTCACTTGGAGGGAAATTGGTGATTCATGAGTTTCAGTTATTGATTGTATTTTGAATTTTGACAAAACATAAGGATTAGAGAAGATAGTGCTATTCCTCTACTGTGGTGATTTTGATGTGTAACATTAAAAGATAAATTTTCATTTTTAAAGTTTGGTTTGCTTTTGATGGAATTTATTGGGAAAGTTGTTTTATATTGTATTTATCAAGTTGTCTTAGTGTTGAAATTACAGCTTTCGGCTCAGTTGCTAATAGGAATCCACTGGGTTGCTACTGCATTTGAACTTTATCTGTTTATTGGTGGTCTTGACTACATTAATCTTCACTTAGTTTGATAGATTTCTAGCAACCAAATAACTTTATGAGCACACTTTGTACAATAGCAAAATTTGTTTGCTATGTTGCACAAGAGTCATTGGAATAGCATCCTGAAACACAAACTCAAATTCCTTGCTTTCACTATATTCAATCGCAAAAACCTGTCAATATGAAGTCAATTAGTCGGTGAGAATATAATGCAGTTAACTCTCTGATCAAAATCACCTTATGATTCTTTTATGACTCACATTGGTAAAAATAAGCACTTCGAGATTAGGGGCACTTCGAACCAAGTCTGGTAACAGTTTCCGCACAGAGGAAACACTGTTCTGAGAAGCTCCCAGTCCCAAAGTAGTCAAATTTTCAAATGCTGGCAATGATCGTCGGGAAAATGAGAGAGCCTTCATGCAAAGAAGATCAATAAATCAAGTTCAAAGGAGAAATTTTGCAGAAGCTCTGAATGAATTCAAAGGCAAAAGAGAACTTTCAAACAAAAGACAGAATACCTTCGGACGCTTCTCTGACAGATGGACTGATTTGGCACTTTGCAACCATTTAATAAACTTAAAAGCATGCTGACCAGGTAAGTAGCTGCTTTTTGATCTGTCCTCGTGTAAATATTCAACTCCTACTGCTGCTCTAACGATGTGGCTGAAGTTTTGAATAAAGTCTACCCTAAATGCTTCACTTTTGTAATTGAAATATTTAAGATTTGGGGCGTCTAAGAAACTTCATGCTTTCCCTTTACTTGGTAGCAGAAATATTCAATATTCTTCGACTCCACAGCAATAGGGAACTTACCTCCCATGCCAGGGAGTACAAGTTTTTTCAATGAAGGAATGGAGATATCCAGAGCTTCAACTTGATCACATTCGGACTCATGCTTGTAACCTTGCAACAATAGATACAATTCTTCAAGCAAGGGACAACCCTGAAAAAGCCTCTTAATGTGGTCTTCAGCTACCAATTTGAAGCCTTCCAAATGCAGAACCTTAAGATTTGGTAAAAGTATATTGACTAGGGAGAATAAGTTTGAAGTCCCTTCTTAGTTTCAGTTTAACTAGTCTTTTTGCACTTGAATATCATAGGATAGGATACTGGAAAACTCTTCTGGCCTCCCAAGAAGATGTCAAGTTCTTGCGATCATGTGAAACTGCAGCAGCGATCAGCCAGCCAATTTGGAACCTATAGTCTTCTTCTACATGTTGCATATCGATACCAAATTTTCTAATAGGAGCCCCATCTCGTGCTAGAATCACTCCAAAGCCGAAATTCACAAATTTAGAAAAGATTTGATCGACAACATCCTCGTGGTAGTGATTAGCACCATTATAGCCAATACTAAGATCAATATCAGGACGTAAAATCAAAAGGTTTCTCCATATAGTGGACAGAATTGACGTAGCTGCAGCTCTTTTCATGGGTAGGAATGACAAGATACGGATGAGAACACCATCCGAAGGGCACTTAACCTATCAATATCATCTCGACAATCTGGAAATATTCTTGCAAGAGATATTTTGTGGTTTTTCATAGGAAGAAAATACAGAGTCTGTTGCAAAAGAGAGTCCGGAAGGGCACTCAACCTATCAATATCTTCCGTGGTGAGGGTTCTTTTAGGCATGGTTTCACAATTTTGCAGACTAAGTCTGTTTTTCAGTTTGGAAAAATCGTTCAAAACATACCTCATAGTTTACAAAATGACTTTTTAGTCCCTCACTTTTAAAAGTGTAATTTTGTATCCTTTACAAATTCATATTAGTCAAATTTAATCCCTATCTAGAAGATTTCCAACTAGTTTTTTACCAGAATCCATCACGTGCCTTGCACGCGATCATTTTTTAAGGGCAAAATTGTCAAATTAAATTTTATATAATCTGATCCAGAGTCTCTCACATTTCACAAAATGAATTTTTTCGTCTCTCATATTTTACAAAATGAATCTTTTCATCCGTCACATTTTACAAAATGAATTTTTTATCGCTTATTGATCATGTATATGAATAGCTTTTTTTTTTTATAACCCATGTATATATCTATTTAATTTCATCTGAACAGTACGAATAGCATATAATATATTTCTATTTAATTTTGTACGAATAACGTGCAATATATTTCTATTTAATTTTGTCTGAATGTATTATTTAGGTGAAATCAAATGTGTATATATATATATGGGTTTAACAAAAATTATTAGTTTTACACTTATGTTCATTTCCTTTTACTCGAAAATTGAAAACAAAGAAGGCATTTAATCCTAAACATTATCAAATGTTTATATCGAATTAAATTTGGACAGAAAAAATAAACAAAGGAAAAGTATGACAAAAAGAAGTAAGTGATTGGCACTTTCAAATTTTAAAATAATCACAAGGCAAGTAATTCAACTATTAGTCTTAAAGGGGGCGAGTAAAAACTTCAGATTTAAACTGCAATTTATTAGTATAACTATAGAATATGACCTAGGACCGATTAATTAGATAGCCTTATTATACAACTCAATAAATGAATTATTACCAAAAGAGAAAAGACCACAAATATTGAATAGATTCACATGGTGAAATCAAATAGATATATACATGAGTTTAAAATAAATGGTAGTTTTAAACCCATGTATATATCTATTGAATAGCATGTGTATAACTACAATTAATTTATTTAAGTGAAATCAAATAGAGATATATTACATATTATTCGTACTATTTAGGTGAAATCAAATAGATATATACATTGGTTAAAAAAAAACTATTTGTACACATAGTCAATGAGGGATGAAAAATTTTATTTTATGAAATCTGAAGGATGAAAAAATTCATTTTATGAAATATGATGGACGAAACAATTCATTTTGTGAAATATAAGGAACTATGAACCGAATTATGTAAAATTTGATTTGATGATTTTGCCTTTAAAAAATGACCATATGCAAGGCATGTGGTAGATTCCGACAAAAAAATAGTCGGAAACTTAGGTAATGACCAAATTTAAGCAAAATGAATTTGTAAGGGACGTAAAATTATACTTTCAAAATTGATGGATGAAAAAAGTTATTTTATAAAATGTGAAAGACTTTTTGAACAATTTTCCCTTCCCGGTTTGTCAGGATATACAACTCAGGAAATAAGGGTTCTATGTGGGGTTTGGACTTATGCATGTAGGTTTTTGTATCATGCATCTGCAGGGGCATTTATTTTAAGGGTCCGTTTACTTGACTAACAATCTACTGGGAAAATTTATTGATGGAGTTTACTTGGATTATAAGTTTAAACGTGCAATAAGATACGAATAAAAACTCAGACCTTTCTAACTATAAGAATAAATAAAGCCTTTATTTTTTTAAGGAGTGCCCATTAACATATTTAAAATTCATGTAAATTATCAGGTGTATGCGCACATGCTAACAATTATTAGTTTCCATTGCATTTATATATTTTTTCTATTTATTTTTATCTAATCTTCCTTGTATTTATTTACTCCTTAATTAATATTACTTTCAAAAATATGACACATGAAATATATTTTAACGAGTGTCCATTGAGCACTTGTTCAACAGGCCCATAAAAAGTGCTTCATAGAGGGTTAAATATTCCACTAAGGAAGCTTTGGAATTAACATTTTTGACAATGCGCAAAATGCCTAGTGTAATTTGTTTTGAACGATAGGCATTACATAAAGAAAATATTTAATGATGAAAGAATATATATATATATATATATATATATATATATATATATATATATATATAGAGCTACCAAAGATAATCTAAATGTTTCTTTCTTTCTCAGGTTTCCTAATAAATATACGCTCTTATCTTTGCAAAATTTCTTGCATTATTATACTTCAATTGATACTCCAATAAATGATCAAACACCGTATATTAGTTTCCTTCAACCGCCTACAAGCAATGATCATGGTAGATATTTTGCTTAGATTCAGTAATGAATTTACAATATACTCTTGATCAGTGGGGGCATACGTCTTGGCAGTTATTGTAATTTGACAAAGAACAAATAAATGAAGAGAAGCAAATCAAGCAATGTAGCAGCTAAACTCACATTCCAATGCAACTCTTGAATCGCAAATTGACCGGACTACGCTCCACAACAATTGATTCCTACCATTTAAGTACATTTATTGAGATTTATATGTCACACCCTGGATCCGCAGGCGCAATAAATGACCAGAGTCTCAACAGTCAAATCCAACTATTTAGGCTCCATTCTCGCTAGCCTAAAATGGATATCCCCAGTTGGAGTTAACCGTTGAAACTCTGATTGCGTCTTGAGCCTGTAGGTCATAGGCATGACATTATGATATTAAAGCAAATCTCATGTAGTCCCTGCACAGGGTGAGACTAAATCAATGATATTGGGCTGGAATACACAAGAAAGTGGAGGAATTAAATATCGTGCGGAGTTAAAGTGCTACGTCAACAAGAATCCATACGAGCCACCTCTAGAATCCAACACAATTGAGTGGACAATCCAGATTATGATATTGGATTGGATTTTGCGAGGACGCAGACTCTTAATTGGATGGGTGAATATAATATCCCACTCCATATCGGAAAAGTAAAGTGCTATACACCAATACTTAAGTAAAGTATCAACAGTCAAATCTAATTATGGATATTCATTTTGGACTAATGAGGATAAAACCCAAATAGTTGAACTTGACAATTGAAACTCTGATCACATCTTGGGCCCACAAGCCCGGGGAGTGAGCGTGACATGTATACCTTTAGAAGGATTAAATAAATATTCTTGTTAATTTTGTGCACCCACTGGAAAATGTTTCTAGTTCTAGACATCTTCTTTAAACCATAGAGCAAGCAAAATCAAAAAGTAAGGCTCACGAATCACGATAACTCATTTTTATGAAGAAAAGCACTTCAGGGTAGGTGGCACTT